TGCATACAGGGCAGAAAAAAGGATTTCTGTGCCACGATTTCTCCGTTCGAGAAGGTGTCTCGGGGTTGAGTCGGACACCTGAGGCAGTTATTCACAAGACTAATCGGATATCCGTTAGCTCAAAACAACCGGTGCAGATAAGTTAGTCCTTCCTTCAGGAGATCATCATGGCTGCAATAGCGGTAGGTCCGATGGAAGAGAGTTTGAACGCAGCGCCTTTTGTGATCTGCAGAGTGATTGCTCCTATATAATACCGCCCATCGGATTCCCTACCTAAAATATAGCCAAGTGGTTGTAAAGGCATCTGAAAGAGCTTATCCATAAACCTGACTGCAGCATTAACAGCTCTCACAAAATCCAAGGCCTAAAAGTAACTATTGATGAATGTCTCCTGTCTCTGGCGAAGTTGCCTTGTTTTATTCCATATCACACGATTTGGAAATTGAATTCATATCCCAACACTTACAGGACAACCATGCTAAGATCCCAACCCACCATGTTATAGAACTCCTCAAAATCTGCCTTAGGAACTACTGCCAATTCGACAACAAATACCAACAGCAGGTAAAGGGAACCCTGATGGGCTCTCCAATATCAGGACTGCTCGCCGAACGAGTATTGCAACGACTAGAAGAAGAGCTTACTCAAACTCTCAAGCCAAACATGCGGCTTAGCTATGTAGACGGCACCTTTGTAGCAGTAAATAACTGTGAAGTCGAATGGCTGCATCAGAGTCTAAAAGATGCCTTTCCTGCCAAACATTTTACCCGTGAAGAGGCGATAAGAGACAGCCTGCTGATTCTGAACATGAAAATACAAAAACTGAGCGATGGTAGCCTCACAGCAAACGTCCATATGAAAGGATCTAATCCCGAGATTACCTTTAATTATGGAAGCAATCACCTTGAAGTTCACACAAAGAGCTGCGTCCAAACTCTGTTTCACCGAACCTATCGGTACTGCAAGAACAACGTCCTCCTTTAGAAGGAGCTTGCTTACCTATACTGTTTGTTTTCAGCTAACGGGTATCTAGTTAGTTTTGTGAGAAACTGCCTCAGATGTCAGACTTAACCCCGAGACACCTTCTCAAACGGAGAATTCGGGGCACATAAATTCTTCTCCCTGCCCTATATGCAAGGGACCTCAGAAATGATCGTCCGGCAGCTAAATCAGTTTGATATGCGCGTTGCCCACAGGCCAACATACTCGCTGCGCACAGTATTATCTCAAGTAAAGGATCCTATCCCCAAGGAGAAGCAGACTAATGTGATCCATCACATCCCGTGTGATAATTGCCCCTGCATGTGTGTTGACCATACGGGTCGACGCCTGGGAACTCGTGTACATTAACACAAACTAACTGTCTGTCGCTGTGACCCAGTGTCCCTCGTCTTTGCTCACGTACTCCAGTAAGACCACTGATTCAATTGGAATGGCACTGAAGTTATCACCATGGCTAACACAAAAGGGGCGAGAGAATTTCTCGAGGCTTGGTACTTCAATGCTGGTATTATCAACCGCCATGTTGACCTGGACGCCTATTACGAGGGCCTGCGTTCACGACTTATTGAACCCTGCCCTAATGCCACATCAAAGGCCGCTAATCAAGCCAACCGGAGTCCAAATTATCCACCATTCACCCTCCCCCTCCAACACGGGGAGCCGTAACTGCTCTCCCCCCCTCCTCGCCTCCCGGCTCATAACGCACCGTGACCCTCTGCCCACATCACCTCTCTCACACGCCAATGGTCGCACATCAATGTCTGTCCTGTCGCGACAACTGGTCTAGTTTGACTGTCTCGATTTCTCCTTTATCCTCACTTCGTCTGACGTCGGGTTGGTGTCACCAACTTGAGAATTCATGAGTACAACTCGACTTTTTCCGAAGAACCACTTCCTTTTTCTTTATATCGTCTCTGAATGCATACTACGTGTGTCCTGCATATGGGGAACGCTGAGGGGTCCACTGATAAGCCGACTCATTCGCAGCTGTGTCATACGGCGATAAAATACAGGCAAAATGCTCGTGTCTGGGCTTTGTGTAGTCAATATCGTAAACTATTTGATATTTGAATAACCATTAATCTAAATGTTCCGAATTTACCGAGATCCGCCCTCCCTGACCATAAACTGACGGATATAAGTTCAAACAGGAAAAATGCAGGAACTCACTTTCAACGCAGGACGTCTCGCCTTTGCGACCGATGAGCATGAATCCCGGTTTGCAGACACATTCTAGAGTCGCCTGATCACAGAAACTGTTTCTCACATGCTCTCCACAATACTGAGGAAGCTGGTTCCGACAACTAAGAGGACGTGTACCCCTCCCAAAACCACTTAACAGCACAGTTACTGTAAGCAGTGGGGCGGTGAGCAAAGGGTTCATTCGACAGTGCGTTTGCCATAAATTTATCGAGAATATGTATTTATATGAAAACAAAAAACAAAAAGTAGCGAAATTTCCACATGGATTGATGCTAGAGGAAGTTGAAAATTATGCAGCAATTTAAACGCCGGTGGTCGGCCACCAAGAGTTTTGCACTCAACAGGGGAGAGGAAGCTGATGATTACCGCACTCTTAATCAGACGGGAGAATTGCTTCTTTCAGGCAAAAGTCGCGGCAAGTCAGGGTAGCACACTGAACAGAGGTGGCAAAGTTAGCATAGTCACGAATGCAATCGAGCCTGAAAAAGAAGTTCTAATTTCGTGAGTTTGGGAAAAGGTGCACGGTGAGAGCGGCGATGTCTTTCGTCCCGTCTCAATCGAGCGAAACGCCTACAAGCAGCGAATTCGACATAATTCAGAGCTTCAAGAGCAAGGGAGAGAGAGAGCAAGAGAGGGAGCGCTAGAACAGGACCTCACGGGTATCAATCCTCCAACCTGTATGAGTTTTCACAGTTTTCATCGTGCTTCGTAAAACGCAAATATTCCAGATTTCATCTGTGTGCCTTGCTTGGGCTGAATTTTGTTGCTTTGGAGTACAAGACTTTCGTAAATGCATAAGTGTACTTAAGCTTAGACCGCGTTCTATCAAACCGCCACGCAGTGAAACCCAGAAAATGGGACATTATAGAAACGTATATAAATTTAGCATCCTTTTCCCTCAAGTCGATATCCTTGCAACTACATAAATCGCTGTATGTTTCGAAGATTTGCAAACATTGAAGAGAGGAGTACAAAAACAAGGTTCTACAACCATAGCCAATCCATTTCAACGCTCATTTTGTCCTCCTCCTCCTCCTCCTCCTCCTCCTCCTCCTCCTCGTAATAATAAATATAATAATTACAGTTCGACTGTCAACTTCGACGATGCTTACCGTGTGCTCTACAGTAGGGCGTGAGCGGGGACGTTGACTTGTGCGTGAATTAGTTTATAGTGAAAGTAGGCTTGCGCAACATATACCGCACTCTCTCCTTCTTACCCACCTGGCCTGATATCATTCCAGAATCGAGAAGACCGAAGGTGGGAGAGGAGGCAGGCGGCTGGCGTGATCGCGGTCGTTTATAGGCGTGCCACGACACCCAGTTCGAACCCCATGGAAGGGGAGGGCCATAGATTTCACATGGAGAAGGAGCCCTTGCAGCCTGACTCGTAAGCCATCAGTCTGCCACTCCCCACTAACACACATTGGGCTGACTGCGAGGTCCACGTTATCCGTCAGTAGTTAACTTTCCGAACCACTCCTGTTAATGAACCGTGATAGATTCATCCGCTTCAGATTGTTTATGGTGAGGAAAATGAACCAAGACGTTAACCTCACTCTCTCTTCCCGTTGTCAAGCGTCGGTCAAATGTTCGAGTTCGTTAGATGCCTGATGCCGGAAGTGGGCGCAGTGGTTCATAGAGCTGGAGAGCCCGTCTGCGCGCCACATGTACGATGTGGCCCCCTAAAAGCACATACCAGGATTACACACACACGCGATAGTTCGACCGTCGATTTCCACGATGTCCACCGTGTGCCCCACAGCTGCAGCTGCAACGGTGGGAGCAGAGACGGTGACTTGCGCAGGGGTTTATAGTGCCAGTAGACTTGAGCTGCATCTACCTACACTCTCTTCTCCTTCCCCGCCTGGGCCCGGTGTCAAGACAGAGTCAAGAAGACCGGAGACAACGGAGGCCGCAGGTGGATGGCTCGGACGGATCCTCACCTTGGCGTTCCACTACACCCCCTGGTTAACACAACGAATAACCAGGACTTTAACCAACACAAGAGAGATTTGGAGGCTGGCACGACCGAAGCCGCACCTAGGCGTGCCGCCAACACCTGGCTCGGATCCCACACTGTGGTAGGAGTGCCATAAAGGCCACATTAAAAAGGTGCCATTGCAGCCTGACTCTCAGACCGCCTCCAGTGAAGGAGGAGGTACAAGGTACCCCGTCAGCTGGCAACCTTCCAAGCCACGGCTGTTAGCGCACCGTGATAGCTTCAAGCGCGTCAGGTTGTTTATAGTGAGCAAAATGCGCTGAGTCGTCGACCTCACTCTCCCTTCCCATTCCCACACCCCAGCCGCTGTCCGGGCCGGTCAGCAGACTGGAGTGGGAAATGGGCGCGGTGGCTGACATGGTCGACTGACCATGCCTGCGCGCGCCACAGCACGACCTGGCCCCCCATACACACAAACACCAGGATTTCACACAACGGGGGTTGAACGGCGTGTCTCTCACTTGCGTGAGAGGGCCGTGGAAGGTGCTGTTTCAGCCCGTCCCCAGCCCTTCAGTCCGCCACTCCACACAACACACACACAACGCGAAGAACTGCGTGGACCGAGTGGGGGCGTCAATCAGTAACCTTCCTATCCTCGACGCTTGACGTGTCGGGATAGTCTCAGACTTAAGTCACCCCTGCAGCCGAAGCCGCATGAGGACCGAGTCGAGATGCACACTTCCCACTTGCGTGGAAGGTGGCATTTGGGTGCATGCGGTGGGTGAGTGTTGGTGTGTGTTGTTGATGTTGGAGGATGGTAGGGAGTGTGTGGATGTGTGGTGTACCCGGCGGTTGTCTACCGCAGGTCGTCGTGGATGCGCATGTGGCCGAATAGGTCCATGCGATGCCTGAAAGTGCGAGAACAGTGTAGGCAGTTGAGTCGAGCTTGGTGGGTATAGGTTGGTGCCCGGGGCACTGGTTTTCCAGTCTCTGTGCGATGGATTCGCAAGTGACCAACCAGGCCGATGCGTGAGGTGAACGTGCGTAGGCAGTGTGGGCACGAGAAGTCGGCGGTGTCGGTGTCAGCTGCAGAGGAAGCGGTGGTGGTAGTGGTGCTGATGGCCGCGGGCGATGGAACGACGGTGGGGCTGGGCATGGTGGATGTATTGGATGCGGTGGGTGTGTGGGAATTGTGGTCAATTCCGTTCTCGTGGGTGCGCACGTGGCCGAATAGACCCATGCGATGCCTGAAGGTGCGAGGGCAGTGTGGGCAGTGGAGGCGAGTGCGGTGGGTGTAGGTTGGTGCTCCTGGCACTGGTTCGCCAGTCTCTGTGCGATGGATTCACAAGTGACCGACCAGACCGATGTGTGAGGTGAAGGTGCGGTCGCAGTGAGGGCAGGCGTAGTCCTGGTCCTCATCGCTGGAGTCGGGGTAAGTGGGGGTGGTGTCGGATGTTGTGTCTGGGTTGTTGGTGTGCGAGATGGTCGCCTGAGCAGCCCTCGCTGTGGCAGTGGTGGGGGTGGTGGTGGAGGAGAAGGAGGATGGAAGTGGTGGTTCAGAAGAATTGCCAGAGGTAGTTGGCGGCAGAGAGGTCAAGGAAGAGGCGGGTGGAGGGACGGCGTTTGATGCAGTCCGAGAGGTTCAGTTGATCCGAAGATGTCCAACAAGTCCGATTTGAGCTCGGAATGTCCGTTGACATCGAGGACACGTTGGTAGCGGTTGTGCGTCGGCGTTGCGGACTGGGCGCATTTGTGATTTGCGGGCTTTTTGTTTCGATTTGGCGGGGGCGATGCGGTTGGCTTCGTAGATAGCAGCGCCGTCTTCACTGTTCTCCTCCAGATCGGTCGATCCCGGGCGAGCTCTTCCCAGTTGGTTGGGATTATTTTCAGGCGCTTCAGGGAGGACTTCAGCGTATCTCTGTATCGGTGAATTTGGCCTCCTTGGCGGCGAGAACCCGTCGCGACGTCTCCGTAGAAGAGTCGTTTGCGTAGTCGCTCTTCGTCCACGCGCACCAGGTGGCCGCTCCATCGCAGCTGCATTTGTCTCAGCATGGTGTAGAGGCTGAGGATTTCGGTCCATTCCAGCACATCAGTGTCGGGGACGCGGTCCTGCCAGTTCAGCCTCAGGATGCGACGGAGACAACTGAGGTGGAAGTGGTTCAGTCGGTGTGCCTGCTTTGTGTACACCGTCCAGGTCCTTGCTGCGTACAACAGCGTCAGCAGGATGACGGCCTTGTAGTTCTTCAGCTTCGTGCTCAGTTTGAGAATATGACGGTTCCAAACCGTGCTTTGGAGGCGGCCGAAGGCTTGACTGGCTTTCGAGATCCTGTTGGCGACTTCGTCATCAATCTTGTTGTTACGGGAGAGGGTGCTGCCCAGAGACGGGAAGTTCTCCACCACTTGCAGTTGGGTTCTGTTCACGCTAATATGCGGAGCGTTGGGAGGAGCGGCTGTGTTAAGTTGCGGTTGATGCATGACCACCGTCTTCTGCGTGTTGACGACCAGACCGAAGTTCTCGCAGGCGGCGAAGAACAGGTCCATGTTTCGTTTCATCTCCGCTTCCGAGGTGGTGTTCAGGGTGCAGTCGTCGGCGAAGAGGAGTTCGTGAACGGTGGTTGTGGATACGCGCGATTGGAAGTGCATCCGCCGTTGATTCAGCAGGTGACCGTCCGTCCTGTAGGCGATGCGGATCCCGGGGCGTTCGTCGCGGTAGGCGTCCATCAGCATGGCAGAGAACATAAGACTGAAGAGGGTAGGCGCCAGCACGCATCCCTGCTTCACTCCGTTGGTCACTGCGAATGCCTCTGAGACAGCTCCGTTGTCCGTGACTCGCGCCATCATACCGTCGTGCAGCTGACGCGCCATCTGAATGAATCGCTCCGGACAGCCGAATTTCTGCATGATCTTCCACAGTCCTTCACGATTCACCGCATCGAAGGCTTTCGTCAGGTCCACGAAGGTAGAGTACAGGTGGGTCCGCATCTCCTGGCACTTCTCCTGAAGTTGACAGGCGGTGAATATCATATCCGTGGTCCCACGATGACGACGGAAGCCGCACTGGGTTTCCAGCAGAAGGCGCTGTTCCAGATTATTGTTCAGACGGCTGAGGAGGATGCGAGCTAAGATCTTCCCGGCGATGTTCAGCAAGGAGATGCCGCGGTGATTGTCGCAGACTTGGCGGTTCTCTTTTCGCTTGTAGAGATGCACGATGGTCGCGTCTTTGAAATCTTGCGGGACTTCACCTTGACGCCACATTTCCTGGAAGGGCGCAGTCAGGTGATCCATCAGTTGGGGACCTCCGTGCTTGTAGACCTCAGCAGGGATTGCGTCCGATCCGGGTGCTTTCCCGCTGGAGAGCTGCTGCACGGTCCTGATGGCTTCCTGGAGAGATGCGAGAGGTCGAAGTCCACGTTGGTCTCCACTTTCGGCAAACGATCGATGGCGGCGTGTGAGATGACGGAGGGGCGGTTGAGGACGCCTCGGAAATGCTCGGCCCATCGCTGTAGGATTTGCGTCTTCTCAGTCAGGAGAGTGTTGCCGTCAGCGCTGAGGAGAGGAGCAGTGCCCTTTGTCGGCGGACCGTAGACAGCTTTGATCGCAGAGAAGAAGTTCTTCCATTCGTTGTGGTCCGCGTATCCTTGGATCTCCTCAGCTTTGCGAGCAGTCCAGACGTTCTGCATCTCGCGCAGTCGTTGCTGAAGGTGGCGGCGACTGCGGTAGAAGGCAGCTCTGTTGTCGCCAGTGGGTGGTCTACGTAGGCTTTGTGTAGTCGGTTCTTCTCGGCGAGCAGGTTGCTGATGGCGGCGTCGTTGTCGTCGAACCAGTCCTGGTGTTGGCGGCGTGCGCGACCGAGGACGGCTAGCGCGGTCGACTGGACTGTGTCCCGCAGTTGACACCATCGGTTCTCCACGGAGGCGTTGTTGGCGGCGTCGGCGGCGGCGGCGGCATTTGAGCTAGCTCACTGCTGTAATGAAGATGGTGAGCGGGCAAAGAAAACAAGGCAATATTTAGCTTACCTGGGGGTCGCTTCCATTGTGGTCTCCTGCGAGGCTGTGGGCGAATACGCATCTTCGAGATGACGAGGCGATGTTCAGTCCAGCCGTCAGCACCCGCGATCGCCTTTGTCACCAGCACGTCTCGCCTCTTGACGAGGACATAGTCCAGTAGTTGCCACTGACGCGACCGAGGATGCCTCCAGGTGGCATTCTCTCGCACCGGCAGACAGAAGAACGTGTTCGTTAGGATGAGGCGGTGTTCTGCGCAGGTACGGAGGAGCAGCAGGCCATTGTCGTTTGAGCCGCGGAGACCATGGGGACCCAGCACTCCTCTGCAGGCAGCATGGTCTGTGCCGACGCGGGCGTTGAAGTCACCAAGGACAACCAACTTGTCCGCCATCGGCACAGTCGCCAAGAGGGCGTGCAGGTCCTCGTAGAATTTGTCTCTTGCGGCGGCGTCGGGGTTGCTCATCGGCGGAGCGTCGGCGCTGATGATGGTGACGAATTTGCTCCCACCCCGGAGAGGCAGACGGAGGCTCATCAGGCGATCGTTGATGCCCCGCGGCGGACAGGGCAGTCGTCCCACGATATTGTTCCGGATGGCGAAGGCGACACCCACGTCTCATCGACCTGCTCTGGGGCGACCACTCGAGAAGAAGGTGTAGCCGGCCCCCACCTCCTCCAGTTGGTCTTTTTCGGAGAATCGAGTCTCGCTGAGTGCGGCGATGTCCACCTTGTAGCGCGCCAGTTCCCGGGCCACTAGCGCTGTTATGCGTTCCGGTCGGTTGCTCCTCGGATTGTCTAAAAGGGAACGAACATTCCAGGCTGTCAGAGTGAGCGGACTCACCCTGCCAGCCTGGTGACGACGAGTGGGGCGACGGGAAGCAGGTGGAGAAGAAGATGACGAAGGAGAAGAATAGGCAAAAAATAGACCGAGGAAGAGGAAGAAGAGGTAGGATGAGGAGATGAGCGAGTATTGTTGTTGTTGTTGTTGTTAGTATTATTGTTGTTTCGATTTTGATTATTTCGTCCATGTTTGTGACATCTGCTACCCTGGCTAGCCTGCAGACGGCGTGGTGCCCAGCAATGTTTAGGCCACCTTTTCTAGGCCTTTGCCCTCGTGATGGCAGCCAGTGCCACCCCTGAATAGGGCTGCCCATGTGCCGTTGTGGCGCGGCCGATCTCCACTATGGGGCCACGACTTCTTGTTCGTAGTGGAGAACGACTCGAATTTGCCGTAAGCCGCGGTCTCCGACGGTGTAGGTGGGCGCGTCAAGGCGATGTCGATGTGGAGAAAAAACCCGCAACAACGACCATCCCCGCTTCCAACGGCCTCATTGTCGCTGCCCCGCCGCCAACAAGCACCGACATCCTCCGACCTGTCCCAATCCCTGCGTTGACCGCAGCGGCCAGCTCAGCCAACACCACATCTCGCGCATTCCCCACCGATGGGGCGACGTCCGACGTCTCACCAACTGCTCTCATCATCACCAGCACCCCCACCTCCATCAATGTGGACTTGGTCCCAATCCGCTCTTATTGCGATACCACATTTACCTCCCACACCGACCCGGTGGGTCACTTGCGAATCTATCGCACAGAGACTGGCGTACCAGTACCTGTAGCACCTACATACACTCGACGCATCCGCCTCAACTGTCCTCACTGCCCCCGCACATTAAGCTACCGCATGGGTCTATTAGGCCACATGCGTATTCACAAAAACCTGCGGTAAATAACCGTCGACTATACCACACCAACACACCTCTAGCCACCAGCATCTTCATCACACATCGACGCACAACGCAAGCGCTAGGTTAATACCTCTCAAGTAAGCGGGGAGTGCGCTTCTCGGCTCCTTCAGTACATTACTCTTCTGCTGCGTGTGTGATACGAACCTGAGACTACCAGGCCGCGCCAAGCGTCGTCGCTTGGAAGGTTGCTGAACGACACCTCAACTCAGTCCTCGCAATCTGCCCAAATGTATTTGTTTTTGTGGAGTGTCGGACTGATTGGCTGAGAGTCAGGCTGCAACGGCTCCTTAACGTGACCTCTGGTACTCTCACGCATGCAAGGAGTGTGTGTTGTATGTGTAGTACCTCTCAGTCGATGACGGACTGGTTGTCCAGTCTAAATACAGGGCTGCGTCTCACTCTTCTGGGCTTTGAGAATTGTGCTCGTCTGCTATGCCGTGATTCAGCAAACCACGGCCCTCGTTTTCTGGTGTGCTTTGGCAACTCTCTGGCATCTGGTTCCCTGTATCATCCCTCTTTTTCTGACCGATTTTTTGTTGGTTAAAATCCCAGTCAAGTGTTTGTTGCGGAGCAGGGGGTGTGGTGGTAAGCCTAGGTGCGTGTCCCGCCATGCCAGCCACCTGCGTCCTCTGCGCCTTCGGCCCATTTGACTGTCTTGACGTCGGACCCAGGCGGGGAGGGGGAGGAGGGAGTTCGGTATATGATGCGCAACTCCGCTGCCAGTATAAAACAACTCACGAGCAAGTCACCGTGCCTGCTATGGAGCACGCGGTGGACACCCTCGACAACAACGACTGAACTGTCAGTTCGGGATAACACTGCTTATCCCATAGCGGGGAGTGTCTTATAGTGCGTCCTAAACAAATTCTGGGAAATCACGCCATCTTCATTTATACCGAGGTTTGCGGATGCAAAACTCGCCATCGAAACACTACAACGAATTAGGCCCCCTCCCCATCCTCTCCGCCCTTACCACAGGCTGCTCGGTTGCGTTTGTAGCTTCTGAGCAGTGAGAGCATACTCAGAGCGGCACAGCAGCCAGGCCAAATTTCGCGTTGCAGGAGAAGGCAGAATTTGCCGGAATGAGGGGCTTATTGTATACGGTCGAGCGGCTGCAGGTCAACCCGTCCGGAACCGCTCGCTGCAAAGTTGGAGGACTTTGATGCAGAGGGGCCTTGAGCAGGGATTACGGGCATCGCAGTGATGGCTGTCGTCAACAACTCCCCGCCACACACATACAGAATGAGGGGGTTCTGTTGGTCCTGAGGGAGGCGATGAAATAACTGAATTGGTCCAGTGCGTATGCGCGCTTGAGAATTTGTGTTGATGATGATGATGACAGTAGTAGCTCGGGCCGTATGCGAGGCTAATGCTGCGACATGTGCAGAGGCGCAGTTGAGGTATCACTCGTAGCCCGCGCTGGCGTGGTCTCGTCAATGTGTGCCAGTGAGTTGTGTTGGTATTAGAGGAAAGGACGTTTCGGACAAAATTCATCACAGTGATGGCTGAACCAGACGAGAGCGACGGTGAAATAGGCTCACTGTCGTCCAGACACAAAAGTTGGGACAGGATGCAAGGCTGAAAGTGTGGAAATTTCCTACTTGTACATATATTGCAATAGGTAGAATGGTATTACCGACAAAGACAAGGGAGACTGGAATGGCCATTTCTTGCTTATTAGCCGTCGTCAGCCAGCCATACCCAAGCCCGAAGTGTGGTACACCCGAGCCTCGAACTCGCGACCTGTTGGTTTAGAAGTTCACGCCCTTTACCCACCGGGCCACGAGCCCGTTGCCCTATGGGTTTTCGATCGGGAATATACAATGGTAGGGGGCGCTTGTAGCAGTTCGCGTCTCCTCGCTCTCCGCCTTTGTCACGCTGCCCTCCTGTCCGCCTCACACTCCTTGTCGATGCGCTGATGGGGTGCGCGAGTGCTCGAAGCCAATCAACGCTGCCCCCACTCTGATTGGCTGGCGAGATTGAGACAACGAAGGGCGCACACACGCGCTAACACAACACCTCGAAGGCGGACACAGACAACAGCTTGCTTGGAGCGCGCTTGCGGCGACTGCCCACACAGCCTTTGTGTACACGCTTTCCAAGCAGTAAAGTTTGTCCATCTCAAACCGTCTTCCCTGACTTTTGATTGGGAATCTTTATCTTGTCGACCACACAACTTTCGACAATTGGTGATCCCTTGCGAACAGCAATCCTTCTCCCTAATCTACGATAAAGTCAGGTGTTGATGATGGACACTATTCCACCGGAAGTGCAGCATATTTTGGCACCCGCCTTCGGCATTCTTTCGGCCACGCAACTTACTCAAATGGCCGATCGGCTTATGGAGATGCACGGTTTTTCCAAGCCGTCTATTTCAGCACTCTCAACTCCCTCAGCTCGTCCTGCGTCTCCCGTTTCGCAGTTAGAGATCGAGCTCAGCAAACTGGCCGATGATATAGCCGCTCTCCAGAAGCCCACAGTTTCTGCCTCATCTCGGAGCCAACCGCAGCCGCCCACCCCACATGTCCAGTCTTCTCATTCAGCCAGTCCAAACGCAGCTGCCATCTGCTGGTGCCACACCACTTTCGGTGCTAAAGCCCGTCGCTGCGTCTCTCCTTGCTCCTTCACTTTCAAGCAGAACAAACGGGTAAAACCGGTCAGCCGGAAGGTCAGTGCAAGCAATCTTTCCGACAGCTCTAACCCTGGTCGCACATTTTACGTCCGCGACACCCGGAGTGGCAGACGTTTCTTGGTTGACACTGGTGCCCAGCTAAGTGTCATTCCACCCACACCAGCTGATCGTCGGTGCCCCAATCCCGGTCTTTTCCTACAGGCCGTCAACACATCGCCGATTACCACATTTGGCACCTGCTCCCTCTCTCTGGACATCGGTCTCCGGCGTCTCTTCCCTTGGGTCTTCGTCGTTGCTGACATCCCCTGTGCAATTCTTGGTGCAGATTTCCTCGCCGCTTTCGATCTTCTGGTCGACTGCCGTCAGTCACGTCTACACGACAAGATTACCAACCTCACTGTCCGGGTATCTCTTCCTCCGACGCTTCCCGTCATCTTGCCGTCTTGGACCCTGAACCCGAGAATCCATTTCGGCAACTCCTCGCCAAATACCCCGGCCTCACTCGTCCCAACTTCAACGTTTCTATTCCACCACATGACGTTGTTCACCACATTCGGACCACTGGCCCTCCCGTGTTTTCTCGCCCCCGCCGTCTCGCGCCGACACGTCTTGCTGCCGCCAAGGCCGAATTCGAGCACATGCTTCAAATGGGCATCATCCGCCAGTCTGAAAGCCCATGGGCCTCACCCCTCCACATGGTTCCAAAGGCCGCCACTGGTGACTGGCGCCCCTGCGGTGATTACAGGGCCCTGAACAACGTTACTGTCCCGGACCGCTATCCTGTCCCACATCTTCAGGATTTTGCCGGTGCCCTATTCGGCAAGTCTGTATTCTCGAAGATCGATCTGGTCCGTGCTTTCCACCAAATTCCCATAGCCCCAGAGGACGTTTCGAAGACGGCCGTTACCACCCCCTTTGGCCTCTTTGAGTTCCTGCGCATGCCGTTTGGACTTCGCAACGCCTCCCAGACCTTCCAAAGGTTCGTAGACAGAGTGCTTCGCGGCTTACCGTTTGTCTACGCCTATATCGACGACCTTCTGGTAGCCAGCTCCACCGCCGAAGAACACATGGAGCATCTGGCAACGGTGTTTGACCGCCTTCAACAATTTGGCGTTGTTCTCAACCCGTCAAAGTGCGTCTTCGGTGTGCCCTCCCTAGAATTTCTCGGTCATCTGGTCGACTCCCACGGCATTCGGCCTCTTCCCTCAAAGGTTGCCGCCATTCGGGACTTTCCACCCCCACCTCGAAGCGTCAGTTGCAACGGTTTCTTGGTATGGTGAACTTTTATCGCCGGTTTCTCCCAAACTGTGCCGACACCATCCTACCTCTGACCAATCTCCTCTCAGGTTCTAAACGCACCTTTGAACTTACACCAGCAGCACTCACGTCATTTGAGCAGGTAAAAGCCCTTCTGGCCGACGCCACCCTCCTGACTCACTTTCACGCTGATGCACCCATATCTTTGATGGTCGATGCCTCCAATGTTGCTGTTGGCGCGGTTCGTCAACAAAGTCTGCCGGATTCTACCGTGCCTTTGGCTTTCTTCTCCAAGAAACTATCCAAAGCCGAAACCCGCTACAGCACATTCGGACGGGAACTTCTCGCCGCTTATCTTGCCGTAAGGCACTTCCGGCATTTACTTGAAGGTCGAGAGTTCACAATTTTCACTGATCATAAGCCACTCACGTTTGCAATACATTCCCACTCTGACAAGCTAAGCCCCCGGGAGATCCGTCACCTGGACTACATTTCGCAGTTCACTTCAGACATCCGCCATATTGACGGGTCACGGAATGAGGTGGCTGACGCACTCTCAAGGCCCTCCATTGCTCATCTTCAGCTTTCACCCGGGATAGACCTCGCTGAGATGGCCGCTGAACAACGCCGTGTCGGTCCACCCTGTGATGAGGATGTTTCCGGACTCCAACTCCAGGAACTACCACTGACGACTGGCAACGGCACCATTTTATGCAACGTATCCACCCCTTCCCATCGTCCATTTGTGCCACCATCCCTCCGCCGTAAAGTTTTCTCCTCCCTGCACAATCTCTCTCACCCTGGGAGTCGAGCAACCGACAAGCTGGTTTCCGACCGCTTCGTCTGGCCTGGTATGCACAAGGACCTCAAGGCATGGACACGGGCTTGCGTCGCCTGTCAACGGAGCAAGATCCAGCGGCACAACAAAACTCCTATTGGCACCTTCCCTACTCCGGACGCACGGTTCAGTCATATCCACCTGGACATCGTAGGCCCCCTGCCTCTGTCCAATGGCTGCTCCTATCTCCTTACCTGCGTGGATCGATTCACCCGGTGGCCGGAAGCTATTCCACTGCCTGATGTCGCAGCTCCAACGGTCGTCAAGGCTTTCCTCAGTCGTCGGGTTGCCACTTTTGGTGCTCCCTCCATTATCACGACTGACCGTGGTGCCCAATTTGAGTCTAATCTCTTCCAGTCTTTACTCTCCTTTTTAGGCTGTACTCGCATCCGCACTACAGCCTATCATCCGGCAGCCAACGGGATGGTCGAGCGGTTTCACCGCCAGCTGAAGGCCTCCCTACGCGCCGCAGACGATCGGGAGAACTGGACAGACCACCTCCCCCTAGTCCTCTTGGGCATTCGCTCCTCCCTCAAGTCGGACCTTGATTGTTCTGCCGCTGAACTCGTGTTCGGTGCCACCGTCCGACTTCCCGGTCAGATGATCTCGCCAACCCCGCGAGTTGCAGTTGAGGATACCACCAACCTCCTGCATCGCCTCCGGCAATTCCTGCGGACACTTCCTCCGGTTCCGCCGAGGCCATCCGTCTCCGAATCTTACCTCGAGAAAGATTTGGCGACATGCTCTCACGTCTATCTCCGATGTGATCGAGTCCGCCGGCCCCTGGAACCACCCTACGATGGCCCCTTCCGAGTTATCTCTCGTGGGACGAAGAACTTCCGCATCCAACGCGGCACTCGCGAGGAGGTCGTGAGCGTGGAACGTCTCAAAGCTGCCGTCCCGGACACTCCTCCGGATGAGCCCTGTGGTCCCCTACCCCCTGTTCCGCCTCCCCGACCCTCTATCCCTCCGTCCCGTATATTTCCTTTGCCCCCATGTCCGCAACCCACAACTGCAACTACTCCTTTATCAACCAACAACACCGTAACCGCGAGCCATACTCACTCTACTCCTGTGCCCCCTGTATATATCACCCGTAGTGGACGCCATGTTCACTTTCCTGACCGTTTCGTTACTCATGTTTTTTAGACATCAACAGTTCCTTCGGTATCGCTACGCGCCACCTTCGGTCTAGCCGGGGGGTACTGTAGCAGTTCGCGTCTCCTCGCTCTCCGCCTTTGTCACGCTGCCCTCCTGTCCGCCTCACACTCCTTGTCGATGCGCTGATGGGGTGCGCGAGTGCTCGAAGCCAATCAACGCTGCCCCCACTCTGATTGGCTGGCGAGATTGAGACAACGAAGGGCGCACACACGCGCTAACACAACACCTCGAAGGCGGACACAGACAACAGCTTGCTTGGAGCGCGCTTGCGGCGACTGCCCACACAGCCTTTGTGTACACGCTTTCCAAGCAGTAAAGTTTGTCCATCTCAAACCGTCTTCCCTGACTTTTGATTGGGAATCTTTATCTTGTCGACCACACAACTTTCGACACGCTCACCGATCGTTCGAGGCTCGGGTGTTCCACACTTCGGGCTTGGGAATGGCTGGCTGACGACGGCTAATAAGCCAGAAACGGCCATTCCAGTCTCCCTTATCTTTGTCGTTAATACCATTCTGCCTATATATCATGCGCCGCTGTGCGGCTGCTGATTGGGCTCGAGAGAGAGCTCTTAAGGCACAACGGAACGAGTGAGTTCCGTATGAACGATCGGTGAGCGCCCCCTACCATATATTACAAAGTAAATCAGGTGGCACCGACAAAGACAAGGGAGACCGGAATGGCCATTTCTGGCCTATTAGCTGTCATCAGCCAGTCATACACAACCCCAAATGTGGATCACTTTGGGTTCGAACCCGGGATTTTTGGTCATGGAATTTGACACTCTGCCAATGATTGGCCGATGGCTGGCTGATGACGGCTAATAAGTCGGAGATGGCCATTTCGGTTTCCCTTGTCCTTGTCGGCACCACCTGAATTACATCTACTACTAATCGCTGTGCGACTGCCTGCGAGGGTTCTAGTTTGAGTCCCAAGGCACAACGGAAAGAGCATTTTCCGTAACCTGATCGGTGAGCGCCCACTGTCATATATTAGAATGTTGAGCGTGTGAAAGTAACTCACGAATAATGGATTCGTTGGTAATGGGCGAAGGGATGTTTCAGACAACAAAGATACGCGGTCAGGTTCCACAACACCTATGAGTTACGACCCTATGCAGTATGATTGGGGTTTAAACTGAACTTGTATGGCTGAGCTTTATTGATAACACTTGTCTCAACTCGTTACAGGGTGTCGACCACAAGTCCGCTCGGTCTACCAGCCTGGAATGTTCCTTTTCTTTTTGGCGATTCCTGAAGAAGGAAGGAAGGACGGCGCTGATCGCTCGAGAATTGGCACGCTACAAAGTGGACCTAGCTGCTCGCCTCGAGACGCGACTCACTATATAGGGTCAGTTGGATGAGATGAGTGCCAGCTACGTCTTCCTCTGGAATGGCCGCCCAGGGGCAGGGCGACGTGATGGTGGCGTTGCCTTTGCCATCCGGAAGAAGATCATGTGTGCCCTGTCTGCTGCAGGGCATCAACGACCGCTTAATAGCCCTGCTTTTGTCTCTCCGGGGAGCCAATTCGCTACTATAATCAGCGGCACGCCTCCCTCCCCCAATTACCAACTCTGATGAGGCAAAGAATAAATCCTGAGGGAATCTTCACGCGCTCCTGGCGGCTGTATCGAAGAAAAACAAGTTGATTGTCCTTGGGGATTTCAGTGCTCGAGTCGAGACAAACCATGCTGCCCGGAAGAGGGTGCTGGTTCTCCACTGAATCGGCGGCTGTAAAGAGAATGGCCTGTTTCTCCTGACTTGACTTGGACGCACCCCCGATCGCGGTAGTGGCATTTGATCCTCCTCCAGAGGTAAGACCGACAGGACATGCTGGTGGTTAGGACTATTTGCGATGCCAACGGCTGGACGGGTCATCGTCTCGTCGTCTCCAAGATGAGTCTTTGAATACAACCCCTCAGAAGATCGAAAGATAAGCGATCACCAGATACGTTAAGTGCACTTTTGCTGAATGTGCCTGCACACCGCTTTCACCTTAGCAATCGGTTGCTCTGGCACATGGAAAAACTGCAGCGCTACCATTGAAGCTTGTTGTCAACTGCGGAACGCTATCCTCTCCGCTCCGCACATCGTCGAAACTCGGACTGATTCGACGACAACGACGCAGACATCAACAACTTGCTCCTTGGAAAGGAGAGGTTGGCCAAAGCCTACATTTGTAGCCGACCAACGCAAACAAAGCCATCTTGTGAATCAACGGCTGCAGAAGCTGCAGGACGCTTGGATGGTTCGAAAGGCCAAGAGTATGAGCACTGAGTATGAGCATGAAGCTTAGTCGCATAGGTCAAGGGGGTCTAGTGTCCCGCAGTAAAAGAAACAGCTCCGCTATTTAGCTCCGACGGGACAATACTTCTGACGTAAGAATTTCAGACTTTGAAGTGCAGATCCGAGCACTTCAGAAAAGTTCTCAACCGCTCATCCATGATCTCCGACGCCGTCCACAAGTGGAAACGAACACCGACCAAGACCTCCGCACTCCCTCCCAGAAACCATTTGAGCCGTGCGCCAAATCTCCAACGAGAAAGCACCAGGCCCCAACGCGATCCCAGCTGAAGTCTAAGGGCATGGCGCTCCGAACTGATGGATCACCTTACAAGGTTATTCCAGAAAATGTGGCGCCGAGGACAATTTAATCAGGATTTCAAAGATGCGACAGTCGTCCAGCTCCACGAGCGAAAATGGAACCCGCAATGTTGTGATAACCACAGAAGAATATCGCTGTTCAATATCACAGGAGAGATCTTCGCTCGCATCTTCTTCAACCTCCTCAACGTTCTTCTCCCGAAAAGTCTGTTTGGAATCCAAAAACACCGCGTAACCGTCTTCATAGTCTGCGCTGCCCGCTAGCAGCAAGAGTGACGTCTGGAGATGCGGACCCACCTCTGCATCACCTTCGTAGACCTCATGAGAGCCTTCGACACGGTGAGTCGGGATGGATTCTGGAAAATCATGTAGAAACTCTGATGCCCTTAGCGATTCACGCACATACTGCATCAGCTTCACGACGGGATGATGGTACGCGTCACGCACAATTGGACCGTCTCAGAAGCACTCTCAGTGGCCACTGCAGAAAAGCATGGGTGCGTACTTACTACCTCATTTTCAATCTCTTGTTCTCTGCCATGATGAATGATCGACGTCTCCTACAGCACTGATGGTCAGCTCCTCAACAGTCGGCACACGAAGGTCCCGTCGAATCTCTCTAAGACAGTTGTCCATGATCTGCTCTTCGCGGAGGATTGCGCACTACGCACCGTGGCAGAGGCAGACACGAAGCGGAGTCTAGACGTCTTTGTTTCCGGCTGCGCCAACATCGGGCTGATCATCATCAGCACAAACAGAACGGTGGCCATGCATTAACCGCCACCCAGCGCTGCCTACAGCGTTCCACGCATCAACGTCAACGGTACCCATCTGAAAACTGTGGGCGATTTCGCCTATTTAGGCAATAGATCCTCCCACAGGATCAAATTCGGCGACTAAGTAACCCACCGAATCTCTAAACTCAACCCGGACTTTGGTCGGCTTCACAAGCGCGCATGGAATCGTCATGGTCTCTGCCTCGAGAATAAACTGGAGATGGTCAGAAGAAGAAAGTGCTACCGTTAGAACAAGAAGTTTATTGCCCTGACCTTTCGAATTCTCGCTCGAACCTAGCATCAGGGGCAGTAGTAGATAAGGGTAGTGGAGGCACAAAGACTGCAGTTTTTATAGTACGTAGCGGCCATGGGGCCACATAGGTACTATAATTAACTGGTCTCTCGATCATCGTTAGGGGTCGTAATTGATTAGATGATGGCTCGTCAGTCCACATCTGAATCGCTAATTGCCGCAATTTCATCATCCGTTTTGGCGTGGTGATCATTCGGAAATTTGACCAGTTGTCACCGCGATTGTTGCTCGCCTGCACCCTCCCCATGTGACTGATTCCCTTGACGCACAACCAATGGATACGTTGGCACTTTTATTACGGCCGATTAGCAATCTTATGAAGCGCTGACCGAAATTCTGAAATGCGTTTTCGATTTGGAAGGATTACTTAAGTGAAGATGTAAGAAATTTGTAATTACCTTTTCGCCCATCTGCAAAATCCGCACTCTGTAAAAGTGACTACATGAGTAGTATGGATCCTCTCCGCCGATTTTCGATGCCCTTGTAAGTTTGAATATATTTTTTTAAAAATATGGTTGGAATGTGCTTAATTGTGCTGATTTAATAGCAAATCGCGCATTCTTTAATTTGCATACTCGAGGAGATGTTATTTGTGTTGGTTTTAAAGTTTGCAACCGTAGTATGTTTTGAAACCGTGAAATTTCCAGTCAGTTAGTACTGCATCTGTCCGGTTATAAATGATCTTTATGCAATATGCGGAAAAGGTCTCATCTATTTTTATGCAGTATGAGCCGCATGTGGCATCTTTTTAACGGCTTAAAGGAGTTTAGGTTTTTCTTAGACGGAAAGTATACAGTTTATAGGCTGAAAGCAAATCCAACGGCAGGCCGGGTTTAAAACTATTCGAGCACTAAAAAAGCGCACTTGAAACTCAAGTATGCCTGTTTTAAAGTATAAAATTTCAAAAAAACGTGATATTAGAACGAGCGAAAACAAAAAAGGTATATTTTGATTGTGAATTCCACATAGTATGGGCAAATTTAGCGAGGTATAAGAATCAATGAGAAAGTCATATTATTTAAGTAGTTATTTTTCAGTAAATGCAGTCCTTCAGGCGACCGGGAAGAGGCGTTTTTAGGAGATAAAATTAACTGGTGGATGCACTATAAATGGGAGATGACGGATAACTGGCTCACTGGTACGATGCAGAATTTAATTCATCAAGCTTGACGAGTTCCAGTTTCGATTACTATCAAACGATGGCGACTAATAAGTCGAAAATGTCCATTTCAGTCTCCCCTCTCTTTAGAGGTATCTATTCCACAGAGACAACGACAAAACAATGCGTTTGGTTGG